GTAAAAAAAAAAAAAAAAAAAAAAAAAAAAAAAAGATGTAGATGTATACAGCTTTCCCCTGATTAGTGGCAGGAAATGTAGGGGAACAGTCCCTGTTTGTCTCAGGCAGCCTACACAAAGATGCCTCCTATTGTAACACAGCAATGAGTCATGGAGGTAGGTGCACATGGCACAGAAAACTGAGCAAGGGAGAGTCGTTTATCCAGAAGCTAAGGCACCTTAACACACATATCCACCGCCACGACTGGAAACTACCTTCTAGCTTCCTTCAGCCTTCTCTACCCAGTAACAATGGTACCAGCAGCTAACATGCATGGAAGGTTTCCTACTATTAGCTCATTTAATCTTCACAACTACTCTAAATAGGTTCTATGGGCCTCCCTGGTGGCGCAGTGGTTGAGAGTCCGCCTGCCGATGCAGGGGATACGGGTTCGTGCCCCGGTCTGGGAGGATCCCACATGCCGCGTAGCGGCTGGGCCCGTGAGCCGTGGCCGCTGAGCTTGCGCGTCCGGCAACGGGAAAGGCCACGACAGTGAGAGGCCCACATATCGCAAAAAATAAATAAATAAATAAATAGGTTCTATCATTAGACCCATTTTCACAGATGAAAAAACTAAACCTAAGCCCTAGAGAGATTTGTCCCAGGTCACAAAACCACAAACTTAACATGACTCCAGAATCCCACCTCTTAACCACTGTTTAGAATCTCCCAGTTGCACCCAAGCGTATCTGCCACCAACTCCAGGAGTTTCTTCTTTTCCTCCCAGTATTGTTTTCTTATAACGAAACTCCTCCCCTTTGCAAGAACACTGCAGTGGTGTCACAATTAACAACAGTAGGTACTTATACTCAGTACCCTCCTCCAAATCAAAGGGGAGCATGATGATCAGGCCACAACATTCAAAATTTGTCCTGTCCTTCCCTGCCCTGGGGGGCTTTCATACTATTTTAAGGGTATAAAATTCTGTACACTAAAACTGAACCAATCTTTGCAAAGTAATCCACTAACCTGTAAAAGTTAATATCATGCAAAACAGACACTACAGTATTGAAAGGAGTTTGGGGACTTCCCAGTGGTTAAGAATCCGCCCGCCAACACAGGGGACAAGGGTTCGAGCCCTGGTCTGGGAAGATGCCACATGCCGCGGAGCAACTAAGCCGGAGCGCCTAGAGCCTGTGCTCTGCAATGAAAAGAAAAGAAGCCCCCACACCGCAACGAAGAGTAGCCCCCGCTCACCGCAACTAGAGAAAGCCCCTGTGCAGCAACGAAGACCCAATGCAGCCAAAACTTAATTAATTAATTTTTTTAAAAAAAAAGGAGTTTGAGGAATGTGGTTGAGCTCACATCATAGGTCTGTCCACCACTGGCCTTGTGATCATTACAGGGATGGACAGAGCCACCAAGCCAACAGGCCCCCAGGCTATTAAAATTGAGAGTCAAAGGAAGGTTACAGAAATCAGCAAAGGGCAGAAGATCCATGCCTAATCTATTCATTCCATCAGCTGGCTTCCTAAAGTCTCCAGTGTGCAGGTAAGAGAGTAAGAACTAAATCTTTTCTGGTTATTTCTCCAGCTCGCCGGGTCTTTCTCCCTCAGGCAGTCTTGTCCCTTACCCAGGACGCAAAAGAGTTGTGGGAACTCAGAAACATCCATGAAACAGCCGCATCATTGTTTAACGAAACAAAGTACTGGTTTGTGAGCAACACTGTAAGCTGCAGAGATGGAGCACCTTGTGTGTGATTTCCAAGACCATGTGTCATGTCTCAGGTCGGAAGTTAGGGCTTATGGTCAAGTAAGGAACAGCCAGGAGAGACACTGATGAGATTTGTTTAATGAATGAATGAATTAAAAAGTCAGATGAAGAAAAGAAAAACCGCTCCCTTCGAGACAAGAGAGATTCCAGGAAGGCCAAGGAATGAGAGCCCCCAAAGTCGACAAGCGATAATCCACTGTGATGTCGGTGTACACACGCCCCCGCTGGCCAGGCAGCGGCCGCAACTAGGCACTCCCAGCCCACAGGTGTCAGGTACGAAGGTGAGGACTGCTCACAGGTCCCAACTCCACACTCTATACCGAGTTGGTCTCAAAGACGCAGATGCGATCTTAATTTTTCCAAGACATCTGCTCCCTTCTCCCGGTTACAGGCCAGAAATGCAGAGGATCTGGGGTGAAAGAGCTGGGTAGGGGCGGGCGATGAACCGGTTTTTACTTTTTAGGGAGAAGGAAAATGACCAGAGATCAGGGATGGCTGAAAGGGTCGGGAAAAGGGTGGGGATGGGGTCATCGCGACTCGTTGGGTCCACTGACTGGTCTTGAGTCAGGCGCACAATCAGTGCTTAGTCACCGATACCTCGGCGGCCGGGAGTTCCTCGCGCCTGGCAGCCCAAGACGTACGTGACGACCCGAGCGGAGCCCCGCGCGCCGCGCACACCCGACTCGGCTCCTGCGCCCGGGCCCCGGCCTCCCCAGCCCGGCCCCCATGCTCGCCTCCCCCCAGACTTACTCTGCCGAGCTGGTCCCGTTAACCGCGGAGCCGTCGGGGGCCGGGTTCAGCTGGATGGGCGTCGGCTTCTTCTTGGGCATTTTGGACCCGGGGAAGGCGCTCGCAACTCCGAGGGGAGGGCGGCCCCTCTTGCTTCCTCCCTCTGAGCTGCCCCGCGCCCGCTGCGCGGGGCCAAGTCAGGGCCGCGGGCCCGGGGGCTGCCTTCGGGGGACGCGCTCTGCGCGGTCCCGTCAGGGCCGAGGGGCCAGTGGCAGTCTCGGGAGACGCCCGCCCCACTTGCTCGGCTCACAGGGGACCGAAGGGCTTCCCCGCCAGCGCAGCACCGCAGCCCCGGGATTCCCTCCCGCTCTCCCTTCAGTCCATCGGTCCCCAGGTCTCGAGGGGCCCCGCAGCGCGCGCACCACAGCGCTGCTCCAGCCACAGCCCGGGAAAGTGCGCCGCCGCCACTGCCGCGTTCCAAGCGACTCGGCGCAGTAGTCCCAGAGGGCCTGGAGGGCGGGGGAGGGGTGGGGAGGGATAGGGAAGGGGGAAGCCTTGCCCCCCGCCCCCCCGCCCCCCCCCGCGGGCAACTGCGTTTTCCACACTCCCACTCGGCTCCGCCCCTTTTGCCTCGCCGGCAGCCAATGGGAACACGCCTCGGCGGCAGATGACGCGGAAATACGTCACGGGGCGCGGCGTGCTACCCTGGGGGTGGGGTCCGGCGCTGGATTCACTGCGCCCTCTGCAGCACAGAGGCAAGCAGGTGGACCCACCGGGAGAGGAGGTGACCTGGACCCAGTTGGTCGCCACGCGGTCTCCTCCGCTGGGGTGACTGTAGCCCACGGGCCGAGTCACGTTGATGGAGATGAAGTAATAAAACGAATAAAGAAAAGGACCCCTTCTTATTTCTAGAGGCACCGTCGAGGAATAGGCAACTTGTCAAGAGACTCCTTGCGCCTAAGAAACAGGCAAATAGAAAGATACATATAAAACGGTAATACACAGTACTAGTCTACTGACGAGGGTACAGGGGAGATGGGTGTTCAGTGCTGATGAGACTCTAAATTGGGGCAACCTTTTCTGAGAGCAGATTGAGAATGTATTTTTAAAGCCTTTGGGAAAAAAAGCCCTTTCGACCAATAATTCCAGTTCTATAAAACTTGAAGAAATAAGATGTGAATAAAGAGCTTAATGAGATAAAAGATGATTCAGGTGATTCAGAATACACATTCAGTCCATCTATTCCCCTTTTCCCTTCCTAAAGTATGCAGTCCTAAAGGCATTAGGTGTGTAAAACAATGTAAGCCTCTGCACCTGGTGGTCCAGAGCAGGGTATCAGCCACCCAGCTGTTTGCAATATATAGAGAGTAAGGTTCCCTTTACATTTTGTAGCCCTTGGTACTGTTTGAATGTTTTGTTATTACGTATATAAAGTGTTTGATTTAAAACATGTTTTGTAAATTGTTTCAAGATTAACATGAGAATGTAAAATAGTGCAGAGAGTTTGGAAAACAATCTGGCAGTTCCTCAAACAGTTAAATATAGTTACCATATGACCCAGCAATTCCACTCCTATGTGCTCAAGAGAAATGCAAAACATATATCCATACAACACTTGTACACAAATGTTTATGCAAATGTATGGCAGCATTTTTCATAACAGCCAAAAAGTGGAAACAACCCAAATGCCCATCAACTGATGAATGGATAAACAAAATGTGGTGCATCCATACAATGGAATTTAACTTGACTATAAAAAGGAATGAAGTGCTGATCCGTGCTACAGCATGCATGAACCTTGAAAACATTATGCTAAGTGAAAGAAGCAAGTCACAAAAACCCACATATTTTATGATTTCTTTTATATAAAATGTCCACAACAGGCAAATCTATAGAGACAGAAAGTAGATTAGTGATTGCTTAGAGTTTGGTGGGACAGTTGAGCAAGGAATAGTATAATAGAATGATAGCTAAAGGGTAAAGAATTTCTCTAGGAGGTGATGCAAATATCCTAAAATTGATAGTGGTGATAGTATCACATCTCTGTGAATTTATTAAAACCATTGAATTGTACACTTTAAATGGGTGAATTGTATGGTATGTGAATTCTCTCAATAAAGCTGTTATTAAAACAACCACCACATCAACAAGGAAATTCAGGGGAAAAATAAAATAGCTAACAGAGTCTTGAAGAACAAAGCTGGAGGATTTACACTACCATATATCAAGATTCCTCTAAGACTGAGTATTTAAGACAGTATTTAAGGCACTGGCACAAGAACAGACAAATAGACCAATGGAGTAACATAGAGTCTGGAAACAAACCCATCTGTATTTGATCACCTGATTTACGACAAAGATAACAATACAATGCAGTGGGGGAAAGGATAACCTTTTGGATAAATAGTGCTGGGTCAATTGAACATCCATATGGGAAAAAAAAATAAGTCTTGACCACTATATCACATCATACATAACAAATCAACTCTAGATGGATTATAGAACTAAACACAACTTTTAAAAGAAAATATTGGAGAATATCTTCATGACATTAGGGTAGGCAAAGATTTCTTAAACAAGACATACATGCACACACACACAAACACAAATCATAAAGGAAAAATATGATAAATTAGACTACATTAAAGTTAATTATTTTGACCTTCAAAAAGGGTAAAAAGACTGTGGTCCAGTGGTTAGAACTTGGTGCTTTCACTGCCGTGGCCCAGGTTCAATCTTCAGTCAGGGATCTAAGATCCCGCAAAAAAAAAAAGGGGGGGTGGGGGGTAAAAAGAAAGAAGACATTTGCAACATATATTGGAGAAAGAACGCATATGTATAATGTATAAAGAACTCCTACACCTTAACTAGAAAAAGACATGAAAAGAGGCTGAAGGGCCTCCCTGGTGGCGCAGTGGTTGAGAGTCCGCCTGCCGATGCAGGGGATACGGGTTCGTGCCCCGGTCTGGGAGGATCCCACATGCCGCGGGGCGGCTGGGCCCGTGAGCCATGGCCGCTGAGCTTGCGCTTCCGGCAACGGGAAAGGCCACGACAGTGAGAGGCCCACATATCGCAAAAAAAAAAAAAAAAAAAAAAGAGGCTGAATTTCTTTAGTTATCAGGAAAATGCAACTTAAAACCACAATGTGAGTACCTAATGCCACTAAAGTATACACTTGATAATGGTCAAAATGGTAAAATTTTTATGTATATTTTACCACAATAATAAAAAAAAATACTATAATACTACACTTACTATTCTGGCTAAACTGAAAAGGATAAATAATATCAAATGTTGGTAAGATGTGGAGCAACTAAGACAGGAATCTCTTACACTGATGATGGGAGTATAAATTTGAGCAACCAGTTTGAAAAACTGTTTGGTAGTATGTACAACCTTATAGGTTGAACTTCTATCCTATGACCCAGAGATTCTGATCCTGGACATATACCTACAGAAATCAATATATATGTTCACCAAAAAAAATGTATGACTATTCATAGCACCACTATTCATAATAGTTATTAGGGAAACAACCCAAATGTCCATCAACAGTAAATGGATAAATTGTGGTAAATTCATGCAATGGAATACAGCATTGTGAAAATAGACTACAACTACTTGCAACAATATGAATTAATCTCACTAACATCCTATTGAGTAGAAGATAAGACACAAGAAATATATATATATATATATATATGCTCAAAACTGACAAATCGAATCTATGGTGGTAGAAGTTGGGATAGTCATTATCCTTGAGGAGGAAAGTAACAGGAAGATGAGTTGAAGGAGGCTTTTAGGGTACTGGTAATGTTTGCTTTCTTGATCTGGGGGGAGATGACAGGAAAGAGTGTTCCAGTTACGATTTATGTTATCTTTCAGTAAAACAATCTATGTTCTGGATCTATGTTACCCTTCAATAAAACAATTACTAGAGGAAAAAAAATTTACTCAACATCACTAATCAAGGAAATGGAAATCAAAACCACAATGAGTTATCACCTCACACCTGTTAGAATGGCTATCATCAAAAAGACAAGCCATAAGTGTTGGCAGAGCATGGAGAAAAGGGAACCCTTGGGTATTTTTGGTGGAAATGCAAATTGATACATCAAAAAAGCATAAAATTTTGGAGGTTTCTCAAAAAAACATAAAATTAAAAATAGATCTACCAGGGCTTCCCTGGTGGCGCAGTGGTTGAGAATCTGCCTGCCAATGCATTGGACAAGTGTTTGATCCCTGGTCCGGGAAGATCCCACATGCCACGGAGCAACTAAGCCCGTGCGCCACAACTACTGAGCCTGTACTCTAGAGCCTGTGAGCCACAAGTACCGAGCCCACGTGCTGCAACTACTGAAGCCCACGTGCCTAGAGCCCGTGCTCCACAACGAGAGAAGCCACCGCAATGAGAAGCCCGCGCACTGCAATGAAGAGTAGCCCCTGCTTGCCACAACTAGTGAAAGCCCACGCGCAGCAATGAAGACCCAACACAGCCAAAAATTAAAAAAAAAGAAAAAAAGAGGTCTACCAGATCTATCTGGTAGAGATATCTGCACTCTTGTGTTCATTGCAGCATTATTCACGAGAGCCAAGATATGGCAACAGCCTAAGTGTTAGTCAACAGATGAATAGACAAAGAAGACCTGGTGTATAGACAAAATGGAATATTATTCAGCCATGAGATAGAAGGAAATCCTGCCATTTGCAACAACGTGGATGGACCTTATGTTAAGGGAGATGAGTCAGACAGAGAAAAACAAATACTATATGATCTCAGTTGTGAGATCTAAAAAGCCAAACTCAGGGACATAGAGAGTAGAGGAGAGGTTACCAGGGACTGTGGTGGAGGAAATGGGAAGATATTGGTCAAAGGGTACAAACTTCCAGTTATAGTTAATAAGTTCTGGGGGTCTAATGTACAGTATGGTGATTGATTATAGCTGATAATAATATATTATATATTTAACTGAATGTTGCTAAGAGTAGATTTTAAATGTTCTCACACACAACAGAAATGGTAATTAGGGGACGATATGGAAGGCTTAGCTAATGCTATGGTGATAATCATTTTGTAATATATAGCTGTGTCAATTCAACATATTGTACACCTTAAACTTACACAATGTTATATGTCAATTATATCTCAATAAAGCAGGTGGAAAAAAGAAATCATGAGAAAACTATTTTTTCCCTCAAAAAATAGGTCAGACTGACTGAAATGTATTTTTATTTATCTTTCGTTTTTTATATTGAAAGAAAATATCAGCCTTTCTCTCATTAAAGCATTTAGGTCTTCTGAGTATTTTGTGGGTTATTTATTTATTTATTTATTTAGGCTGTGCGGGGTCTTAGTTTCGGCACACAGTATCTTTAGTTGCGGCATGGGACTTCTTAGCTGCAGCATGCATGTGGGATCTAGTTTCCTGACCAGGGATCAAACCCCAGCCCCCTGCATGGGGAGCACAGAGTCTTACCCACTGGACCACCAGGGAAGTCCCTGTGGGTTTTATTTCAAATTTTGTGGGTTTTTTAAAAATTATGTAACTAATATCAGCTT